GTCGCTCCGAATTCCGTACACCGGAGTGGTGCACTTCCGATCAGAAGTGAATTGGAGTGAGTTGAGAAGCTGAATATAGCTCTCTAAAAAGATAGTATCCGCGCGGACGTGTCGAAGACACGTATTACCACGACCATTACCATTACCACGACCACGACCACGAGCCGAGCCGAGCCGAGACGAGACGAGACGAGACGAGACGAGACGGACGGCGGCGGCGGTGCGCGAGAGCCCCCCTTGTTCTCTATCACTCAACAAGGAAGTGGAATGTCAAGCCTTAAATACCATTCCCAATAGTGTTTCCAACACTATGTGGGATTGAGCATTACCAACAGTAATTTGGTCTTTTGTTGCTTCTGAGAAGAGCATCATGTCATATGCAAAGAATAGGTGCGAGATTTCTGGTCCGTTGCGAGCTAAACGAGCTGGTTTTCAAGAATGTTCCCCAACACTTTTTTGAATTGCTTGTGCTAAACGCTCCATACACAATACGAATAAATATGGGAATAGGGGGTCTCCTTGGTGAATTCCCCGTGTAGGTTTAAACGTCTCCGCAACTGAATCATTCCACAGTATTTGTGTTGACACAGTCGAGATGCATCGCATGATTAATTCCCATAATTTTTTTGGCATACCAATATCTTAGAGTGTATCGATTATGAAAGACCATTCTAGCCAATCGTAGGCTTTCTCTAGATCGATTTTGATTGCCATGAGTCTTTTTTTTTTCCTTTTTGCCTTCATCGAGTGCATTACTTCCTGTGCTATGATTATATTTTTCGTTCTCGATCTACCCAGTACGTAGCTTGTTTGGTTAAGGGATAACCAAATAGGGAGAAGAGGTTTCACACGGTTAACGATGAGCTTCATTATTATTTTGTAGAGTATTGAGCAAAGACTAATTGGTCTGAATTGGGTAATTGTTTCCGGACTTCAAACTTTAGGTATGAGAACGATAAGGGTTCGGTTAAGGGAGTCCTCAAATTCTTTACCAGAAAATATCTCCTTCACAAAGTTGCAGACATTTTTTCCTATTGTCGACCAATTTTGCTGATAAAATATAGCATGTAAACCGTCCACCCCGGGTGCCTTCAGTGGACTCATTTCAAACTCAGCTTGTTTTACTTCTATATTCGATACTGGTCTACTTAATTCCTCCTTAATTTGTGGCTACTGGAATAGGGGAAAGTTACCTTGAATACTGTAATTGTATCCATTAGCTCCAGAGCTTTTGAAGAGATCTTTATAGAATTCAGTTGCCATTACTTTTAGTTGTTTCTGGTTTGAGCACCAATTGTCGTCATATGATTTAAGGCTTTGAATGAAATTAGTGCGTCTTCGTTGCATCGTACAATTATGAAAGAACTTACTATTCTTAAGTTATCCATTGTTGTCTTTATTTTTGAATCCAAAAACTCTCTTCTTGTTCCAATTCCTTATCTAATTTGATCCGCAGTTCATATTCTAATTGTATCGATCGTTTTGAATAGTCTCTGCAGAGGGCTCTATCTATCCCTCTCAATCGTGCTATCAATTCCTTTTTTTGTGTGCCTATACGGCCAAATACGGATTAGTTCCAATCACCAACCTTTTTCTTGAAGGCTTCTATGTTTTCTAGTGTACCTTGATCATCTTTCCAGCTGTCTCGTATCAGCTCCGGGAATGCGGGGTGATTCTATCATGCAGTGAGAAATCGAAATGATCTCTTCTCTTTGTTGTTATTCCTCTCAGCTTCATGGTACATAATTAGGCAATGATCCGACCCTATACGGTCCAAGTGGGCCACAAATGATAAGTGAGCTGTGTTGGCGAGTGCCACGTTGAATAAACATCGGTCCAAACGTTTCCACAATCTACCCCGTTTCCACGTAAAGTCTAGACCTTGATAGTTAACTTCTATCAGTTCTACGTCTATTACATGGTAGTATTTACCACACTTGTATCAAATCTGCTGCAGCCCTTCATACTCTAAGTGTTACAGAACCCTGTCAACGCGAATACTTTGGATTAGCGGTTTGTTTAGGTTAACCACTACTGCTAATCTTGCGAACTTCCTCTTTCACCAGCGATATATTATAGTCGATTTTAATTACTCTCCCAATTACTGCCGCAATGTGTTTGAATAAAGCTTTCGAATATGGGAGTTTGGGTATCCTTACCCAAACAATTACCTGCGTTAGAAAATTTCGGTTGTAGAGAACGTTCGACTCCATGGTTGGACGGTAAGATAGCTACCGTAAACTGTCCAGGGTCCTTCCGTCAATACAAGGACATAATCACCTTCTTTTTCAAACATTATTATGTAGTAGTCGTTGTCGAGGTCTACTACCTGAAATTTTCCTTGCCGTTTCCACAGAACTTGGATTCTTGATAATAAGGCTTTATACCCTATTTTACGTCCCAGTAGACTAACTATAACCGACCATCTCATACTATAGTCAATATGTTTGTGGACTTCCTCAGTAAAGTCCACTATCGGAATCAGTCCGCTTGTATCGATTTTGACCTCCTCTTCGCCTAGCGTGACATCGTCATGACACGAAGGAGTTTCTTCAATCTGCTTTGAACTTCCTACTACCATGTTAGCGTAGGACATACTACCCGATGTTCTTTACATATTTCCAATTTGTATGCTTTCTATTTCCTTAGTTTGTTCGTTTCCTTCATTCATTATCCAATCAGAGTCTGTTTCTATAATATTCTCCTGAGATATCTCGTCTTCGTTGCCTGCTAGCCTCGTTTTAATGTTGTTTTCTAAGGGATCTTCTATTCCTTCCATAGTTCCAAGCGTCTCCCCTGTGGGGTCTTCTGCCATACGATCGTTGGATTCGGCATTTAGGGGTTCCGCTAGTGGCAAGAGAGAGGACCTCCGGTGGTCCAAGGTTTTGCCTTTCTCTTCGATGCTGTGTTGAACTTTTCTTGCGTTAGGGTTTTCTTGCGATAGGGTTGTTTGCATTGCATTTCTCTTCAAAAATATATAAAGCTAACTTGGTAAAGTATTATTGATGACACTGATTTGACAAGAAAAGCTCAGGCTAGATTGCACTGGATCTGAGTTTTGGGTATGGTTTTCTGGCTGGAATTTGGATCAAGTTCACCAAGAAATTGAGTTAAAGGCCGTTGGGTCTAATCTTGGGTTAACCCCTTGGGCTGGAACACAAATGTTTTATAAGCTTGGGCCTTGCAAGTTATTGGGCTCAAGTAGTAGGGTTTCACCATTAACTCTAATGGGGGCGGTTTCATCGGCATATTTTTCCCTTAAAGAACAATGTGATCAGCGGCGATGGTGATGAGTGGCGGTGATGGTGGTGAGTGGTAGCTGGTGATAGGAGACTTTGTTCAAATTCATAGATTAAATGATATTTTATTTGAAGTTTAATGATCAAAACGATATTCCATCTAAAGTTCAGGCTTAAAAAAAATATTATATCTAAAGTTCAATGGTCAAATAAAAATTAACCCTTTTTGACAAAAGTATCATGTTATCAAACTAACATATGTTAACGACTTAAAGATCAAAATACAATAATTAATCATGTAAGTGACTAAAATTTTTAATAAGTCGATAGAAAAAGTGTTCAATTCAATAGTTTATCCGATCTTTATTTTTTAAAATCTTTAAATCTTTTTTTATTTTTTTATATCAAATAAAAGAATCACATTTAGACAAAACTTTAAAAAAAAAGGTAAAAATGCATATGAGGCCCTTGTATTTAAAAAAATTAATATGAGACTCGAATTATTTTTGTATTTAATGTGACCCTTATGCTAAAAAAGTAAATTCAATATGACCCTTTGATCAACTTTTTCTGTCGGTGATTGTTACGGTGTTACATGATAATCTATAGTGACAAATGATGTGGCAGGTGACATGACAGGTAAACTAAATTAACTTTTTGATCTTGTTCGAGGGTTAAATTGATTTTTTAGGTTCAAAAGTTTATTTATTTTTCTTAAAAGATTCTAAATTTAAAATATAAAAATATTTAATAAATTAAATACAAATATACTTAAAATAAAAATTAAATTACTGAAACTTTAAAGATATATTAAAATAATATTAAAGAAATATATAATATATATTATAAACTATAAAATGATAAATTATAAATTATTAAAAAGTTAAAAATTTGAAAAATATATATAGTACATAATATATACATATAACATGTTATATAGACCTATCATTAATATTGTATTAAGTATTTTTATTGAATTGTTCGAGACTTATAAGTTTTATATTTAAATATAATAAGTTTTTTTATTCAATAACACATTTAATATACTTTGAATACTTTTTAGGACTTTTCATAAACTCTTGCACATCATATAATAAGTTAGTATATCAAGAGACATTTAAAATTATTTGAAATAAGATTAGATATGTGTATTGATGTGAGTAATTTTCGATGTTTTTTTAGTTATATTTAGATACAAAATTGTATATTTCAACCAACTCAATCGGTGTATTTTATACATGTGTTGATGATATGATTATATATTATGTATAATATATTTTTAATTTTTAACAATTTTTCAACATACAATATATATTTAAGTTTTCTAATTTCTAATAGTTTTTTAAGTATTTTTAATATATATTTAAGATAAAAAAATCAATTTAATTTATTTATTATACCATTTATCACATCATCAATTATAATAAACTATTACATCAATACCGTAATTTATTGCATTAATACTATGAATTACTATATTAGCAATATAAATTACTATTTCAATAGCAAAGCAATCAACGATGAAAAATATTAACAAAGGAATATATTAAATTTATTTTTTGAATTAAAAAAATCATATCGAATACAAAAATAATTTCAGGCCACATTAATTTTTTTAAAAGAAACTACAAGAGCTTCGTATGCTTTTTGCCTGGAAAAAATTATGTAATACATACTTTTAATTAAGTAGTTATTTTTCAAAAAATCCTAACAAAATGTATCAAATTTACTTTAACAATACAGTTACCCGGAAGAGTAAAATGCTTTCTAATCTTACCAACAGTCTAAATAGAAGGGGAAAAATGCCCGTATTGACGACATCAGATTCAGATCTGAGGCTCCAAATCGATTTCATCGCCACTACCGAAGACAAGTACTGTTTCCGATCAGAATCAACTCGGCATGGAAAACCGAAGCAGCTATGTCCCACCGCCTTACATACCCTTGGCTCAGTCGGACGAAGAAAACCCTTCTCGTCCTGTTGGGGAGATTGATGGCGAATCAAGGCCGTCACCGCCGCAGTCTCAGTCCGTTCAGTGGTCTTCTGGAATCTGCGCTTGTTGCGATGACATGCAGAGCTGTACGCTACTTTGACTTTTGGTTTTTTCAGGTGCCTCTATATGAGTTTTATTTCATTGAAGTAATTTGGGAATTGTTATTCACTAGAGTCTTAGACTTATATTGTCACAGATGTGAAAAAAAATTGGTGATTGTGCGAATAATACATGGTAATATGCAGGGATGGACGCAGGATTGTACCTTAGAGTGTGGATTTCTAAAATTTTAGAGGGGAGCGAAATTATAAAGTTCTAACGGGGAGAACAGATTATTGATAGAAAATACAAATAAAATATCTAAAATATATGATAATTTAAATTTTTTAGAGGGACAACTGCCTCTGCCGCCCCTTCGGTTCATCACTGATCATGTGCTCAATTGAGTCTGAGACTGCCACTGACTGATTTGGTGAATAATACTTGAATGCCATTGCCATGCGCAGGTTGTATAGGTCTTCTTTTCCCCTGCTATTTGTTTGGAAAGAATGCAGAATTTCTTGGTTCTGGTACTCTAGTAGGATCCTGCATCACCCATTTCATTCTTTGGGCTTTTGCCAACACTCTTTGCTGTGTCTTAACTCAAGGCTTCTATTTGGCCTTACCTGGATTGGGATGCTTTATCTCTTGTTATGCTTGTGGATATCGAAGGACACTTCGCTCCAGATACAATTTGCAGGTGTTTTGCATTTCTATTTCTGGTTTCATGCTTATTTTTGTTTATACTTTTAAGATTTTAGAATTTGATGTTTACTGCTTAGATTGTTTGCACGATGCTGCCACCCTGTCCAGTTTTTCTCCTGTCTAAATGATTGATTTTGTTTATAATTTCGTTGAATGCTACTTGCTTGAGAATTGAGATGGACTATGTTTGTGGTACTTGAGTTCTATACTTTTATTGATCAGTATTAAACATTGCACTCATATAGTCATATCTATAGTTAGTTGCCTCTCTATTGTAAGGAAAGAAAGAAAGTGACCATGCCAGAAGCTAATCTGTAAAGCTGTGTAGATTCTAATTTTAAGCAAGATTAATTTATGGATGCTACCTAATATATATGAATGCATAAGATTTCAACTAAATGATTTCAATATAGCATATTTCCCCAAGTAGTAGCATGTTGTTCTGTATGAAGTTATTGCTAAATTGGTCCCACGCTCCCACTTAGGTCTTACTTTCTGGAGCAAATCAATATTTTTAATTTATTGGACAATATTATTCTCAAATTTGTGAGGGTTGTTTAGGAATAGTTCTTCTTTGGGTTTAGAGGACTGATTCTTCACCACGGACTTTTATATCAAGTTCAAATTTTAGTAGGAGATTTCCAGGCTTTTAACATGTGTTCAAGTTAAGGGTGGATGATTTGTCTTTTTGGGTATCCTTGGTATATAGAATTAGGAGTAAAATGTATTTTTTAGTTTGTGGTAAGGTTGGAACCTGGACTTCTTTTTCGTCTTTTCTAATTGAGATCAGATGTAAAGAGCCTGAAACTCAGGCAGCTAGTGCTGAAATTCTTATATTTAGCAAAAGTTAGCTTTTTGGATTCTTTGATAGTTATCCTTGGGCAAAGTTCCAAGTAATTTCCAGTTAATCCTTTAACTAGCTGCTTTGCTCTCTGCATTAACTGCTTTCATGTTTTGGTACCTAACTACTGATAATTTTTACATGGAGAATCATCCTCGGAACACATTAATCATGTTCCATTATCAATTTCTTATTAATATGCCATGGGACCATGGGAACCATTTTGAAAACTGAACTACCATCACCCTTTCATTGTTTTTTTTTGTTACTATTAATAAATTGGTTTTAAGGCTCTTCTTTTAAAATCACTTTTTCTGTCGAGATTTTAATTTTTAGTTTCTGTGGAAATAGATATGTAATAATGATAGACCTAAAAGGAGGGCCTTCTGGTTTTTGATAGGCTGGTTTCCAAATCATTAAAATCCTATTAAGAAAGTGACTTCCCATGAAGTGGTCTTCCAGGAGGTAAGTTTCCATGAAGTTGCCTCAACTCTATGTAACAACCATATGACTTCATTAGCAAACCCTTCGTTGGATTATGGATTATGGATTATGGATATACACAATAGGACAAGAAGTCATTCTCCGATCCTTTATCAAAAAGGGAAAATAACACTCCCCTCAGTACTTGCACCAAGTATGAGTATATTTGACTTGAAATCTGCTTATATGGAAACCTCTATAAGTAACTTGTGTCATATTATAGGGATTGTACAATTACTAGGGGATTTTTTTTAGTTCTTTTTCATTCGATTTGAAGTGCTTGTACCTCATTCCTTTTAGTAGTATTGTCTGGATGCAATATGGTAAATAAACTTGGAAGTCCTACTAACTATGAGGTTTCAAGATGGGAAATGATAGTATTTTCGCACATAAGCGCTTTTTATATTCACCTTATTTACTTTTGGTGAGAATTGAGAACTGATTTGAGAAATGAATTCTTCCCTCGCACCCAAAATTAATGAACCCTATGATTATCAACAATTTTAAGGTTTGACCTTTAAACAATCTTAAATGTCTTCCATATACAGGCAAGTTGTTCAACCATTATTAACAGGATTTTGTCAGAATGAATCACATCGGGTGACACCAACTTTCTTTTTCTATGTTATGCAGCATAATAAGATTTCTATCAACCCGCATACACTCCTATTGGATTTTTCATTTGCTAATTATTATATCTTTATGTCTGATGCAGGAAGCACCTTGTGGGGACTTTGCAACTCACTTTTTCTGCCATCTATGTGCAATTTGTCAAGAGTACAGGGAGATTCGTGAGAGGGCGGGGGAGCCCAAACCCCCTGATCTTAATCTGGCTGTGATAACTGCGCCGGACGTCCAGACGATGTAATCATCAGGTCTCTAGTATTATTAATTGGTAGTTTTGTTTATGTAGTGGTCGCACCTGTTTCACTTCAGGGTTGTACTCGTTTCATATGTTTTATCAAAGCTCCTCCCAGCACCAGGATATCTTTTAACGTTTTTGTTTTAGGACTACCCTTAGAGAAGAAGGTCTTTAATCTGATTTTTTATTGTATGGTCACACCACTTGTTTGATATTTCTTGTTTTGAGCTGCATTAGTGTATTTATGAAAAAAAAGACCCTAATTATAGCATATTAATTATGAAAGGTTGCCTGAAAACAACAATGAGATCCTCATCTGCGGTCCGCTGTTACTACTTGCCTTGGATTGAAAATAATTATTTTGTTTATGTAGTGTTGTAGCTTTTAGCAATAGATGCATTACGTTACAGACATTTGCCTTTTGTTCATTGGATTGCTAAAGCTGCTTTTATACGGGAATTTTCTGCCCGTTCCTGATCTTATTGTCATTTTGCTTGTTTTCATAATAAAATGAAGGGTAAACTACATGTTTAGTACCTAAATTATCAGCTTTGTTTTGTTTTAGTATCTAAACTTTCATTTGTTTCAAAATCATGCCTAATATTTACTTTTTGTTTCATTTTAATTCTTCTACCAATAAAAACTTAACCATACTACATTTTTTATTGGTAAATTACAGCAGTCATTACTCAACTATTTTCTCACGTCTATTTTAGTCACTAAAGTTTAAAATTTTTCAATTTAACTACTAAACTTTCAAATTGTTTTTATTTTAATCACTTTAATTTATTTTATTAATGATTTTTGTGATATGACATTTATTATCATTAAAATAAAAATTAATTTATTTTATTAATCATTTTTGTGATACAACATTTATTATTATTAAAATAAAAAATTGAATATTTGAAAGATAGAGAGATTAAATAAGGAGTAATTTGAAAGTTAAGTAATGAAATTTAAAAAAAAAAACTTCCATGATTAAAATAGAAGTGAGAATATAGTTGGGTGATGAATGATGTAATTCACCCATAACAAAGGTGTCACGTAATTTCATTATATTCTTAATGGGGATGTATCAAAACAAAACAAAAGTAAATGTTAGGTGTGATTTTAAAACAAATGAAAATTTAGGTATTAAATGAAATAAAATTAATAATCTAGGTATTAAATATGTAATTTACCCTAAAATAAAAAGGTTTAATGAAAAAATAAGGACACAAATTATACCATTTGTTTGTTTTATATGTTTAAAGTTTTTTTTTTGCTAAAAGTATGTGTTTAATATTTTTGATTCTACTCTTTTAAATGTCTATGTCGTAGGGCTAAGCAACGAAATTGAAAAACCGATCTGAACCAGACTATTCGGTTCGGTTCAAAATTTTCAATTTGCGGTTCGATTTCTGTTTGGTTTAAAAATAAATAAATATCCAATTCAATTTGATTTCGGTTTTTTCAAATGAAAACTATTTGAACCGAATTAAAAAAAATAAAAGAAAATAAGTATCCAAAACACATTTATTTTGAATTTATTATAAGATAAATTTAAATAAATAAATTATTAAAACTAGTAATATTTTTTATAATTATTAAATTTATATATTTACACTCGATTTAAGCTTTAAATTTGTATTTTTAGAGGTTGAGTTTGAAAAATAGTGAACAGTCAAAAAAGCCGATCCGAACCGAACCAAAATCGTCTTTTTTATATCATTCGATTTTGGTTTCGGTTTCCATTTTAAAAAAACCGACAAAGGGCAGTTCGGTTCTTATTTTAGTGAAAATCGAACTGAACTGAACCGAAGACACTATTAGGATTTGAAGAGTCTCAATTGAACAACAGAAAATTGTATAAAGGGGGTTAATTGATAAAAATGTGTTTAGGGAGTAAGTAGAGCAAAAGATAGAAAAATATGACACAATGATTTATAGTGGTTCGACTTATCAACCAAGTCTACCTCCAATACCTTAGCTCCTCACTAAGGATTTTCTAACAAATTCACTAATTTGTTCTTTCTTTTTAAGGACAAAGAGATAATCTTTACAACTCCCTATCTTTTCGATTGGCTAAGATATAACCAAACCCCTTTATAAAAGGATAAAAAGAAGTAAACAAATAAACCTCTCAAAGGTAGGTATTTACAAAATTTAGCTCACACAAACACAATATTTACAAGAGAAATGAAAAATAAGAATGAAAAACTCTTCTCTTGTGTTTGATTACTTGGATAGGTGTTCTATCCCTTCTTCAAGTGTCATCAACTTGTATTTATGTGTTAGAATGTTGTTGTGGTCGTTTCTAGCCGTTGGAGGTGTTTTGGAGCCATTGGGGATCAATTTTCGTGCAAAATAAAGCTGTCAAGAATAGAGGGTATCGGTACTCCTAAAGGGAGTATCAGTACTACCTTTGTTATTTTTAAATCAGCTAGCCGTTACTAGCCGTTTGGGCCTGATGGTATCGATACTATGTCAATGGTATCGATACTACTATACAAAGTAGTATATGTACCCCTTTGGGTATCGATACCATTTTTGCATTCTGGAATTTGAGCATTACTGGTAGTATTGATACTACCTAGTGAGTATCGATACTTCCCTTACCTTGGTATCGGTACCATATGAACAATATCGATATTGTTCATGAGGTACCGATACTGTAAGAACAATATCGGTACTACTTGACCAGAAAATTGTTTTGTGCTCAATTCCAAGCTTTAAGGACTTTGAATTATTTTTGAAAAGTTTGAAAAAGTTTGAATAAATTCATTTCAAGTCCAATAACATTTTGCCTTAATTGTTATATCAAAATATAGTTCAACAATCTCCCCCTTTTTGATATAACAAAACATTGAAAATTTGTTTTTGGCAAAAACTCCCCTTAATAAAATATTTAATGAAAAAGATATCAATCGTTGGAAAATGTATGAAAATGTTCAGCTCCCCCATTTTTCATTAAGAAATTGAATTTTTCAAACCAAAGTTTTCCCCCTTTTTGTTATATAAAAAATAATTCAACTTTAAAGTTCTAAAATAACTTTGGAGAGTAAGTGGTAAATTTGACATTAAAATCATTTGAAAAATCAAAGCTCCCCCTCAAAAGGTGATCTCCAAACAAAATTTGACTTTAAAATCTTGACAATTAATTAAAATTGAATTTCAACAAAGAGTAATAAACATGTTAGTAACACATGAAATTCAATATATCCAAGTCTAAATACTTTATGCAATACCAAATGTTGAAATTAAGTACATGTGCATAAAGTTTTCAAAAATGTTATGCATTTGAAGAATTTGATATCAATTGTTAGAGAGATATGTTTAACATTTAAAACACATGCATAAACATTTAAATTTAGGTCAAAAAATTTAGAATTTGTAAAATCAAAGCATTTGAAAAGTTGATAACAATTGTTAGAGAGATATCATTTGCATTGAAAATCAATTTTGACCAAAATTCATTATGATGAACTAAGAATTAAGAAAAATCATTAAAACTTTAAAATGTTCATCATAGAGTACATTTCAACATACATGAGATTAAAAACAGTAAAAAATCATTTAATTTAAAAAAACTCATGCATGCATAAATCAAATGAGCAACCAATTATGTAAAAATAAAAAGTTTTAAAACTTAGAGGTTACCCATTCCTTTTAGAGTGTGGCTAGAGCATCTTGATTTCTTCATTTTCATCACCATTGCTCCCACACACCTACAATAGACATTTAAGTAGATTTTGGTATCCAAATTGCTTTGGATCCTTGGATGTTAGTTTCAATGCCCCTTGTTTCCTTAGGAACCCATACTTGTCTAATTTTAAAAGATTTTCTTTTCTTTATGGGAAGAACATGTTCCATATGACCATGGAAATTGTAATGTGAGCATTTTGCAATTTTTAAACATAATGAGTTGTTTTGAGAAATTAATTCTTTTTCTTTTATTAAGCTCTCAAGCTTAACTTTCAAATCAAAATTTTCTTTTTCTAAATCATTGGTTTTGATTTTTGAAATTTCTAAATCATTTTTCAAAATTTTATTTTGATTTTCAAAATCAATTTTTTCTTTCAAAACCAAATCATTTTCAACTTTGAATTTTGAAATTAATTTCTTACATTTGGAATTCGTGGTCTCAAATTCCAAATACAACTCATTATAAGCATCTTGTAACTTATCAAAAGAATGTGAATTTAAATCATTTGAGTTAGAAAATACCATTGAATCTCATTCTATGACCATAAGGCATAAATTGACTACTTCATCTTCATCATTTGAGTCATCTTCATCACTCCAAGCTGCCACAAATGTCTTTTTCTTGGATGAACTCTTCTTTTTTAGGAGGGGACATTCATACTTGACATGCCCCATTCTTTGAAAATTGAAGACACCAGCTTCTTCTTAGTTGATTCATGCTTCACTTCCTTGGAAGACATGAATCTCTTGAACTTTTTGAAGAGCTTGGCCATCTCTTCTTCATCATCATCATCTTCATCCACCTCTTCACTTGAATTTTGATAGTTCTCATTGGTGGACTTAAAGGCAATACCTACATTTTTCTTCTTCTTGTTTTGTTTCTCTTCATCTTCTTCCTCTTCCTTCACCATCAACTCATGAGTGAGAAGATAACCAATTAACTCGTCGAGAGTAAGAGACTTTAGGTCTCTAGCTTCGATAATCGTCGTCTTCTTCGAATGTCAAGACTTTGGAAGAGAGTAAATCATCTTCCTCACAAGCTTCTCATTAGGTATTACTTCTCCAAATCCCTTGAGACCGTTGACAATCACGGAAAATCTATTCGTCATAGCTTTTATATCTTCATCGGGTTTCATCTGGAAATTCTCGTAGCTATGAATGAGAAAACTTATCTTGATTTCCCTCACTTCATCGGTTCCTTCATGAGTGACTTGGAGCTTATCCCATATCTCATTGGCATTGGAACAAGAGGAGACTCTTCCATATTCATCCGGACCTAATGCACAAAAGAGAATGTGCATAGCCTTAGCATTGAGTTGGAGCTTCTTATTCTCTCCATCACTCCAATCATCCATCTCACTGGTTGGGATGATGTAGCCTTTCATGATAGAGCTCTAAACTCCTAGATCATTTGAATGAAAAGCATCATCATATTCTTCCAATAGGCATAATTTGCTCCATTGAAGTAGGGTGGTTTGTTGACCGGTTGTGAATCTTCAATATAATAGGCACCGGAGGTTGAAGCCATCTCTTTGTATGTTGAGTC